GTCTCGGTTGACGTTTCTGTGTAGTATGGGGCTAGCCCAACCGAGGGGATATAATGTATAGGCCTGGTGGGTTCAGGGTCTTTCATCTTACATCTGCCTGTGAGCAGTTTGGAGGTGCAAGATACCTGAGCGTGCAATGTTAATTTTACCTGTGATCCTTTGAATAAATCAGCACTGTTTTGTAGTTACTTGGACTGTCTTGTCTCTTAGAGTTAGCAATGGCAATAAGAACCATATCCTGCAGCAGGAACTGTAAACTGGAGTGCAATGTAGGTCATGGCTTTCATCAATAGGCCTGAACTAGATGAGTTGGCAAAGCACATTTTATTCTTCAGAAACAAGTGGCTTTCACTAGATTTACAGTGTTAGAGTATTATAAGGTGCTCAGTAATGGTGAATCCAAATCTTGACCTAACTGGTTGATAATTCAAGATGGAATTAGGGGCATGTTTGAGAGGAGTTGTTGCCTGAGAGGAGCTAATCACTGCCTGATCTTGTAACAGTCCAAAATCCAAAAAATAAATAAATAAATAAAGTTTTGACCTTTGAGGCTCAATGTAAAACTAAGTTTATGCCACTAACCTGTCCCATGTGTGAATCATTCATGGTGCAACACCAGCCTGAAAAAGAGAATGAGTGTTTGATGATGACACTCTTAACACACTCACCCGCACACAGCATCCCTCTGCCTCTGTGTGTATACATGACATCATGCTTTTATGAAAGGTTGCAAGTTTTTCAAGAAACCCACATTTTTCATTTGTGTCATGTGATGTGATTCCAATGATGGCTGGAGAGGTCAGTTGGAATGATGGTGAGGAAGGGGCCTGAGGATGTCTGTTGGAAGGGACTGTTGTCCTATTCTCCTGTGTGAGAGGCATCAGGAAGATGTGATATTTTTACAGATTCATTTTTGTTAACTTGCCTTTTTATTTAACAGAGGGAGAGGGTAGGATGTAACACTGATGTCAAACAGCTGACATCCAATATTAGTTTATTCTTTACTTTTTATGAACGTGAGGTATGTTGCTTTCATTTTTCTTGTACCTCTTCCTTTTCTGTAGACATTCCATCACCCTATCTTTCTTTTCACTCCCTCCCTCTCCCGCTCTCTCCTCCCTTCCTTGTTCCCTCCTCCTCTCACTCTCCATCCAAGTGGCGTTAAGGAGCAGCTTACTCATGTCCAGTCACTTCCCACCATGCCTCGCCTCTCACATAGACACTCACTTCCTGCTCTTCCCTTGACATGTCTTCATATCTCCGTTTTCTTTTGTGACAACAGGGAAAGACTGAGGTCTTCGTCTGCTTAGCGACCCCTCCTGAAGATGGTCAGGAGAAGGTAAGAAACCCCACAAAAACACACACACACACACACACACACACATGCTCTGACACACTCTCCATGCTGCTTTTACATTACTTCTCAAGAATCCAACCAGCCCGTACTCTCCTCTAACTGAAAGCAGATGGTGAAAGACAGACTCTGTACATTGTTTTGCCCATATTCTGTGGGGTAATGTGAATTCAGAAAAAGAGTGTGTGTTGTTGTTGGTTAGGAAGCAGGAACTAGGGCTCTAATTTGGTGTTTTGGCGTCCAGCTGTGGAATGTTTTGCAGTTGATCCTCTGTGGTGACACATCATCCTATATTGTGTAGTATGAGTGTTTAAGTTTGTTTTCATGTTGTGTTAGCGTTAGATAAATATTCTTTGGCAACTCAGGTTGCTTAGAGCAATGTGCAATGATTTGATTGACAGACAAGACAAACAAGAGAATGAATCAGAAGCAATGGTTAAAATTTAATGCATGCTGCCAAATAAATGGAGCCTGTCTAGCTGTAAAGACAGCTTCTTGTTGGCCATCATACCTGTGATGCTGCACCTACATTTGACTCAGTGGCTTCGCTGACCCACATTGTCTTGAAATATGCCAAAAGAAGACATTGCACAGCTAAACAATGCAGAGCAACACACTGAATATTATTCTAAGATTTTTACCCAAATTAATATATTGAGACTAGTGACGTGGCTCTATGTCTGTCTCTAGGTCTGTCACGGTCAGTTCACCACTTTGGTGCAGACTTGAAATATCTCAGCAACTATGGGATGGATTGGCATGAAAATGTATTCAGACATTTGTGGCCCCTGAGGCTGAACCCTAATAACTAACCTTTGTGGGTTTTGAGTGAATCCAAAATTATCTTGAAAACTTTGGTTTCTAATCAAATACCTGCCAAACCTGATGGTAAACATTATACTTGCAAAAATATCAGGTTGTCAACATTGCCATTATGAGCTAAAGGCACATTAACAGTAGCATTTAGTTCAAGTAACCGCGGTGCCTCCACGAGCCCCTAACATGGCTGTACACTGTTATTCTTCTTAAATGATCTCAGATGTTGGAGAGATTGTACAGAGCATGATAGTTATTTCCAGATGCATGTGATATCCCCACACATTAATGATAGTTGTCACAAATATTTACTGGCTGCAAGCAGAGGAAACATGAGGAACCACATTCTCCTGAAGTGCAGGCATGTACCCGGAAACCAGTTTTAGTAGAGAACTGGATTTTGATGGTTCCCCCCTTTTTAAGCTGCATGACATCTGTATTATCCTCATTTTAAAAACACAACACTCTCTCTGTTCCCCATGTTCACAGGAAACTTCTGTCTTGTTGCAGCATTCTCAAACTTTCCAGTAATATCCTCTCAATGGGAAATTAAATAGTACTTTTCTGGGCATGGTCTGAATTTCCACTGTGCCAATGTGAGTGTTGGAACTGATCTGCAAAACTGCCTTAGGCTATTTTCAACTAAAATAACGGTGTGTTGTTTTTTTTTTTAAATCCAAATAAGCAATGCCAACCTCGCATGCCTAAATATGTTGAGAAATGTTTCATCATGGCAGGAAGACAGCATATCATCAAAACTAGCAATCTTCTTTTTCCCTCCATTCGGCCAGAGCAGGTCACACCCAGTTACTGTTTGCCTTCTGATGCCAAGAAATGTTTCTGTAAGGACAGTGATGGCAGGGGGCCTGCAGGAATCCACTGTAGGCGTCTGAGGTATTCCAAAAGCAGTCTGACAGCTGAGTCCAAAGTCCAGAGTGCGGCAGGCAGCTCTGAGCCAAAGTCAAGCAAGACATGTCTGTCTTCCCCCAACTCATTCATCTGACTTTGCCTGTTATTGTTGTCTTCTCTGCATGCCAGTCATAGCTACTGTCCAGCCAAGTGGAAACAGAGAGAGCAAGTCATATCCCTGTAACTGTGCTGCTATTTTGTGAAGCAACTTGTTATGATTTCCTGTATGATGATGTTGGCTTGGGTGTTGTCTTTTTGGCTCCTCAGGTTCTCTGGGATTCTTCTGCCTCCTGTGGTTATGGTTGCTCCCAGTAAACAGTTAAGAATGTCCTCCCTCTTCTGCCTATGACATGGTTTAACCCACATATGATCCGGTCATCATGATGGCCTCCATGGTTGCCAATGGAAACCAAGACGGGGAGTCTGTGGTTTTAAAAGGGGTGGATCCAGAGACCTGCATGATTGTGTTCAAGAACCACTGGGCTCAGGTAAACCTTAGCACTAAATCAGAGGTCCACAAGTGTGTTCACTCACTTTTTTCATTTAGATGAGAAGATCGATAGCATTTCAAAAACCTCACAAATCCACCTGTAAAGTGGATCTGTAAAGATCTGTAAAGAGC